AGCGACCAGTAAGCGCCTCCGGTTATCAGGTGATAGGCGCTTGTGCTATTAATCAATATTTTATTATTTAACAGAGTGGCCAGTAAGCACCCCAGGTCATTGGGTGACAGGCGCTTGTGTTATTAATCAATAATATATATCGTTTATTAAAGCGACCAGTGAGCGCCCCAGGTCATCGGGTGATAGGCGCTTGTGGTAATAATTAATATTTTATCATATAATAGTGTAGGCAGTTAGCGCCCCGAGTCATCGGGTGATAGGCACTTGTGTTATCAATATTACAATTTTTAATTTTCGCGTATGTCTTTGGCAATGCCCCTTTACTGCTGTGCTGTCTACTCGACGGAACATTCTCCCTAGATGGTATAGCTACATATAGGATCTAGGGAAAAAGTTCCGATATTGAATCCGCCCAATCCAACGGCCCCAACGCTGGCCGTAGCATTGGCGTTAGCATGTTAGCAATTTCTCTACTCATCTCTACATGCGACTGCGGCCTAACTGAAAAGAGCCATCAAGATTGAGAATTCGCGGAACTTAGCGGACTGCTGAGGTGGCCATCTTCTTAAGAAAAATAAAATCTCTGGCTGAAATCGACTCCTTATGTCCTGACATGTCGATACTATCAAGTTTCATGTAAAAAAAAAAAATAATTGGCAAAATGGTGAAAACAAGGTATATTAGTTGCGCATGTAATCGATTACCACATGCAGTGGATTGGGGACAAAACAACTTAGTATGCTATGCTGCTAATTATGCAGTTGCCATATGCGATCCTCATGACAAGCTGTTTGGTTCAATATTATCAACTCTCCATGTTCATACTGACCGAGTAAACGTTGTGCGTTGGATCAAATCGATGACTTTTCCAATAATAGAAACAGAACTCATAACTGGCTCCTGTGATGGTACAGCTATTATCTGGACAGCAAGTAATTTAACATGTGGCAACTTTGAAGCCAAAGAAACCCTCTTAGTGGATGGTCCTGTCAGTATATGTGATGCTGCCTACATCTCTGCCAAATCTTCTGATTTATTAGCATGTACCTGCTCCATTGATGGAAAGTTGAAGATATGGGTTCGATTCAATTGTCTTAAAGTAGAATTAGTCCAAGCTATAAATTTTTCCAAAAAATTGCCCACAGAGGCGCGATTAGTAATTCTTCCACCAAAACTTGATAATTCAACAAATGTAATTTTGTTTATTGCACTAGACGACTCAACTGTTGATTTATACTTGGCATCATTTATTCATGAAGATGTAAATCAAAAGTAAGAAACTTCATTAATTTTTGAGTCCCTGTGTACACCCAGAGTCGCCTACCAAAATTTGAACATAACATCAAATGAGAAAGACAAATCAAAGAATGGTTCAGTTTGTACTTGAAAATAAAAAATCTGCAACCCAATGTACCAACAAAATAATTCTTCATTACATCCATAATATAGTGAAATAAGATGAGTAAAATTATAATTTCTTGTACGCGATTTGGTGTGTACACACGGTCTTACATTTTATATAAATTCTCCAAATTGAGAAGGGTCCTAATTTTTGAATGAAATCATCTAGTTAATTAAAAAATTTCTAATTAGAGAGTAGGAGGATGTTTAATTTTTATTTTTCTGCTTACAACAAAATTAGCAATTTTTTTTTTATTTCAGCAATGATATGAGTTTTATCAAAGTGCAGACTTTAGTTGGCCATGAAGATTGGGTAACATGTATTGACATTGTTTTGAACGATGACGAAAGTTTATTTGCAGCCACCAGTTCTAAAGATAGTACAGTAAGACTCTGGAAAATTTCTCAAGTTACAAACAGTACTAAAACTAACAAGGGCAAAAAACTGAAGCCAAAGAAACTATACTTTTTGATGCAAAATAAAGAATATGAAATTGTTCTTGAAAGTATCTTATTTGGCCATGATTCTTGGGTTTACGAAGTACACTGGCATCCTATGGTTAAAAGAAATGGGAAATATTCTCAGCCCTTAGAGTTACTTTCCTGTTCTTTGGATAAAACTGCTATTGTTTGGAAAATAAGTAATAATACTGGTGTTTGGTCTGAAATAGTAAGAGTTGGCGAAGTTGGGGGTAATTCTCTTGGCTTTTATGGCTGTAAATTTGGTCCCAACGGCAAAAACATATTAGCATATAATTATTCTGGATCGTTTCACATGTGGGAATATCAAGAAAATTTTCAAAACTGGAAACCGAGACTGATACCCAATGGACATTACAACAGTGTGGTAGATCTTTGCTGGGATTCAAAAGGGAGGTAAGAAGATGAAAAATTTGTTTTTTTATGAAATTACATTTGTAATTGCTGAAACTGTAAAAGCATGCTTATTTGAATTTTCATGACATGATTGATGCTTATTTAGATTCTTAATCACGGCCAGTAAAGATCAGACAACTAGAATTCATGTTCCATGGCCAATTAGCAATCAAGAGGAATCCTGGTGTCAAATCAGTAGACCACAAATACATGGCCATGACATTTCTTGTCTAGCAATTCTTAAGCCGCATATATTTGCTTCTGGTGCTGAAGAAAAAGTTGTTCGCATTTTTACTGCACCATTGATATTTAAAAATTATTTACTAAGTTTAATGGACGAAGTAAGTGATGTTGAATTTAAGGGGATTGTAGAAGCAGCATATCTTCCAGATCTTGGTTTAACCAATAAAGCCGGATATGAAGTTAATTTGCACAATAGTACCGATACATCAAGTAATTCTAGTGATTTCAACTATGAAGAACCTCTATTAGAAGAAGAATTGATACGCAAGACACTATGGCCAGAATTTCAGAAGCTGTATGGACATGGATATGAAATATTTTCAATGGCAGCAAGGCATGATGGTACATTACTTGCCACATCATCAAAATCTACATCATTCAAACATGCCGCAATAATATTGTGGGATACAAAGCTATGGTGCCAATCAGATAAATTACTATTTCATCAACTAACTGTAACACAAATGGCTTTCTCTCCAGATGATCAATATTTTCTTTCTGTATCAAGAGACAGGTGTTGGGCTTTGTACTCTTACCAAAATCACAAATATGAATTGTTAATGTCTAGTTTACAAAAAGAAAGTTTTCATTTGCGTATTATTTGGAGCTGCTCGTGGACAAATGACTCCAAATATTTTGCAACCGGTTCTAGAGATGGTAAAGTTGGAATCTGGAGTAAAAACATTGCCAACAATAAGAAACCCTTGCTTGTTACTGACTTTTGTTCAAATGGGTCATCTGTTACAGCTCTTGCTTTTGCACCTTCTAAAATATCAAATAAATTTCTCTATGTGTTAGCTATAGGATTTGAGCATGGTTGTATAGACATTAGAAAAATTGAACAAGTTGGTAAATCCAATTGTTATGAGTGGGTACAACTGTCTTTTTTGAATACATCACAAGCTCATCATGCAGCAGTAAAAAGATTATGTTTTCGTCCAAATTTTCGAAACGAGCATGTTTTGCAATTAGCAAGCTGTGGCATGGATGGTGTTGTAAAACTGCATGACGTTGTATTAATATGATACTTGAAAACAACTGGCGATGGTACTCCGTTATTTTCCACAAATTAAAATCTTTCATGACTCATCAGTCAACTTATAGTCCGGGTCGTAATCTGGAATTCGTGGGAGAAATTATTTGGATAGGATTTTTTTGCACGATCTGACGCAAAATGATCACCTAAAAACGAATTTGCATGTTGCCAGGCTTCAAAGTTGTAGGAAAAATGTTTAAACAAACTTTTTTAAACAAATTAAAAATATTGTTTATTTTGCCCTGGAAAAATTTTTTTTAGCTTTTTTGGACAATTCTAAACAAAAAAGATGTCTTGAAAATTTTCTCTAAAACCAATACTTTTCGAGATATTAATTGTACAAAGTTTAAAAAACCGTGAAAATCGCCACTTTCAAGTATGATGGACAATTATAAACAAAAAAGATGTCTTGCAAATTTTCTCTAAAATCAATACTTTTCGAGATATTAATTGTACAAAGTTTAAAAAACTGTGAAAATTGCCACTTTCAAGTATGAAAAACAACAATGAAAATTAAAAATTTTGATGTTGCCAAAGTTCTCAAATATTCTTCAAACATCCCTTGACAAAATACTAAGGCGTTTCCGGACGTTATTTTATTGCAAACCCTTCATTTTTAATTTACAATCAAGCGTGTGCATCGTTACGGTCGGCCGCTGCTGGCNTTTCTGTATTAACTGATATTTATGAAAAAAAAGGCGACGAAAAACGTTTTGTCACAGTTACATATTGTTAAACATACCAGGTTACATCAGTGACCCTACTGACCGACTGTGCGATGTTAACATAAATCTATAAAAAAAGTTATAAAATAATATTTTACACGTTTTATTGTAATTGAAGTTGATTGTAACTAAGCCTTTATTCTTTTCTGACAATAATTACAATTTTTCCTTTATTTTACTAAATTATTCCGAGATGTTATAATTTAAACATAATTTAAACTTAGCGCGATTCTGCCAGTCTGCAGACTGCCAGACTCCATGTAATCTCACCCTTACGGTCGGCCGCTGCTGGCCGCGGCTCTCATGCTCCGTCTCTTTCCCACTCACAAGGAGTACACGGAATTTACTGGCGCTTATATTTGATTTTAATGGTATAAGTATATTATTCTTCTACAGTAATTGTGGGAATAAAAATAATTATACAATCTTTCATATTGATGAAAAATGAGGTTAACCTAACTGTTGCTATATAAATATACATGTATTTAAATAAAAAAAATTATTTTAAGTTAAGCCTCAGGTTAAATGGAATATGGTAACAGAATTTTATACGTTTACGTATACAAACTTTGTTATTCTTCTTTGAAAAATTTGAATTAAGAGGGCTTAGAACAAAAAATCGTGTAAAACTAAAGCATGCCACTGTAAACAAAAATAGTTTGAATGGTATCACTCTGTGCGGTTGTGATTCAAATGTTTGCGTAAAAAAATGTGTCGTATGTGTAGAAGAAGATGATTGTTGATGAAGCGTTGTAACCTTTTGTCATTTGAATTCTTATTTTTTTAATAAAGAATTAAATAAATTACGTGATTTTGTTCCAAAAATTAAATTCAAACCTAATCCTGATCCTTGTACTTTTTAGCAATTCAATTTATTTTATCAGGTTAAAAAAAATCGGCACGGCACGGCGCTCTTGATACATTTTCAAGTTGAATTGGATTTTCGTAATTAAAAAAACATAACTGGATTTTTATTCCCACAATTACTATAGAAGAATAATGTACTTACCATTAAAATCAAATATGAGCGTCAGTAAATTCCGTGTACTCCCTGTGAG